CCAGATCTCCTCTGCAACCAGCCTGATCATGTTTGAACATTAATCCTTACTTAACAAGGATTATTGCTCGATAACATCACAGGCAAACAGGAAAGCAAGGTCCCTACTCTGAAGTTTCTTATCTAAAGAAATTTTGTCTTTCAAGTATCATACTATAGCCATGTTAAACAACAAAGCCAGAAGAAGCCCACAGATTCTGGTCCTCATGTACCGAACAGGAATTAGGACACTGAATGCCTCTAATATTCTGAGTCTAGGGAATCCAGAATCCCAAAATATCTGCAGGTCATAGATGACACACAAGTAATGAAAAAAAACTTCAGTGATAATAGCCTTAGTGCAAATTCCAGCTGGAACTGACCTAGGAGAGTTCTCAGCAAGAGGAACGTCTCTTTATTCATCTGGCCGAACAACTAGGTACTAAAAGCCTATATGAGCTACAAATCTCTGTCCACTCACCACACAGGTATATTCCATACATCCCATATCAATATTTTGCCATTTGCTACTGATGGTTGTGGAAGAAATAAATTGCCAGCGACTTTACATGTCCTGACCTTTAAGTTCAAAGACATGTTCATATTCTCGCTCCCTTGAAATCAGCATTTCTCCCTGTGATTAGCTGCCTCCTGTCTACTTGTAGTGTTTAAGCTACTAAAAATACTATATTCAAAGAATGATTAATAAAGCTTGTTGGGCCCCAAGAGTTGCCATGGAGACAGCTTTGTGTACATGTTAAAGCATGTGTAAATATGTATTTGGACAGTTGTTAAAAACAACAATTTTTTCCCAAACACTACAGCTCTTTCCAGACAGCATAGTTTGATGACATAATGCACATTCAAAGATTTTTTAATAGTCTGTTTTATTTATAGTTATTTACTCAATAGAGTACATCAAGCCTCCACAACTTTTGTGGGCTATGTGTGAACTAAGTAGGCATTCACCCAGTTTTTTAAAAATGTGTCATTTACGCAGTGGATTGATCTGTAGAAGACATTACAAACAGACACTGCACTCAGAAAAAATAAGACTTGAATATTACCTGGGAAGAGTTACCGTGATACTTCTGTATCCACAGGGGACAATTCTGCTTTCAGGATGCCAGTGTAAATCCAAAGCATGTCCATTAAACCAATGCTCTTATGCTGTTTTTTTCTTCTTGGTAAGTGGCAGCATAATTCAACTCTTTCTGAACCAAGTTACAGAGGAGGCAGAGCCCACTGTTAGTAAGATTTCCAATAATTCAGTTTAAAATACAGTATGAACAAGCATTTAGTAAAGGCTCTCAGAAAATCCTGGTCCTCTATTTTAGCTGGCCTCTTTCATGTAAGACTTGAACTGAAATTTCCTTCCTCAAGTTTTACAACGTGCTCAATTCAAACATGGTAATACATGTTGGTAAAGAAAGAATCCGACAAGTAGCACACCACAAATTCTTCACACATAAATTATCTTGTGACATGCTTCCCATTGAGCAGAACAGTCACAAAAATCTGGTTTCTATTTCAGTACTGTCACTACTCTGTTGGTAGTATCCTGGTCATCTCGTAACATCACACCTCAGTTTTCTCCCTCTGCAAAGTCCTTTGCAATTTGTTTTGAGATATAACGGTGCAAAGAGTTCTCTAACAACTATAAATGGTTACGATTGGTTTTGGTGTTGCTACTGTTGTTAAGCAAAGTTTCTTTAAATGCTCAAGCTACTCTTCTGTCTTGTGCAGAAACTACTACAATAGTATCCCAGATACTATTGCATCACCAACAAAACTGGAAAATATTCAGAGCACTTAGGAGATTTGCAGAGACTCAGACCTAAGAATGTAACGTGCATCAAACGATTTACCACAGGCCTATCTATATATCACAGATATCAAATTCAACTTTGAATGTGAGAAGGGAAAAAATGAGAGATATGAAATTCATATACTGTAATTAAATGGAAAACACATGCAAACTGTAGCAGAAAAAATAATAGAAACATGAATCGTGTATATTGCATCTGTCTGTTATTATGGTAGGAGTGGCAATGATTAGTAGAAATAGGGTTGCAAAATGATTTCTTATATAATATCACTTCCTGTGCCCATAGGGTAACTGTAATAAAGACAACTCACCCTTAGGCAAGGGCAAAGGCAGAAAGCACAGTCCTTTCTGTTGGGAAAGAGAAGCACTCGGTTGCACAGAAGCCTTGCCAGCCAGCCAAAGGAGGTGCTGACTTCTCGTCCTTTGAAGGTACCAGCAACCAGTCTTGGGGCTGGCGTACTTACTTGAGAGAAAGATACCACTGCCAGAGACCTACAGCCTAGATTATCCTAGTCAACAGGAGTCTGCTTCAGAATCACCCTGCACAAGGGAGGAATGCTAAGAATGCTCTAAAAGCCTTAAAATGTTGACTTTTGTGGACAGTACTATGCAAATTCAATGGTGCATAAATGTGAACTTTTACATATACACTTAGACTGGGAACTTGCCATTATGCACACGTATGAATGGCCCCGCTGAGTGCAGCGAGAATATTCCCATACTCAGCATTATTCATGAGCATTGTGCCATGCCTTTTTATGTATCAAATGTAAAACACCTCAGTTAACATACAGACATGGGTGTCTCTCGGGGTCCTAGTACATCCATGACTTCAACAGCTAGCAGTCAGCCATTATCATATAATGGTGATGGGCTGTGTTTTTGCTTTAAGAGTTTAACCCTGAGGTCTTCCAGAAGCAGAACTTAACACATTGCCTAAGACCACAAGATAAACCAGTGGCAAGCTTGAGCTGGCAATCTGGGTGGAGGATCTCCCCCCTCCACCCAAGCCTGACTCACTGCAGCTCCCTGCAGTCGAAATATGAAGGGGCAAGATCTTTGTTGGTGGTTGATGCAAGCAATCAGTTTGGCTGCCTTTCGGAAGTGCTGAAGTAGGGGACCTTAGTGGGGACGTCTGAAGCTTACAGCACTGAAGTTCCACATTAGGTCTTCTGTCCACCAGAAACTAGGGTGGGCTGTAGTAGATTTGACTGACGCTCTCTGTGCAGCTGCACTGACTGCCAAACAGTGCAAGGGAGAGGAAGCTAAACTGGCTTAAAACATCTCTGCTTCTTCCCGATTCCAAGAGCTGCATCACTCAGGTACGTCACTGCAATGCCCAGCTATTGCACACGTGTCCAGTCCTTACATATACACTGCTATGAGCCCTGCTGCATTAACTTAACTAACATAAACCCTCCTGGATTCTTTATGCGCTGTGCTGGGTTTGGAAAAGGTGCAGGGAAGGGGGTATTTTTCTGCAAACAGAATTTTTCATAAGCGGCGTAGTCACCTTTTGCTATTACAAATACAAGAGCAATAACAATATATAATGGCCTGAGCAATAATGGAGAGTCTGGCAAATATTTTTTCACCGTCATAAGCACACTGGGCCTAAGGCAAGGTTTTCCTCTCTTTAATAAAGAAAATGGAAAGGTAGGGAGAAAAATAAAATAAAAAAACCCCTGCGCTGCCTCTCAAATTACAAAACCTGCTAAATATTTAGGGCATTCTTTCCCACAAACACTTCAAATGGATGAGAAAGAGGTTTGTCTTCCTGACAGTTCACATCCTCTTGTGGGCCAGACTTGTTCCTCTGGAAGCTCACTGAAGTCAATGATATAGCAGCAGGGATGACAGATGAAGCTCACGATCCACATTTTAGTGGTACCTATCTACCGCTCATACAAATCAGCTCAAGATTAAGATGCAAGTGAAGACACTAAAGGTTCAGGTTGAGGAGACAACTAAGACAGCAGAAACAGTCTAAAATCTGTGGCAAACGTGTTTAATTCCTCTCTCAGTCTCTTGGCTAGAAGGGAAGGGCTTGAATGTTGTAACAGTAACTAACATTGTTTTTCAATATTTGCTTAGAGTGACATGTATTCTTGCTGTTTGGGTTTTTTTTCTCCCCAGTTGTAGTGAATTGCCATCACATACTCTCATTGTATGGCCGGTTATCTTCACTGTAAAGAACAAAGTGACAAGTGCTTACAGTTGACTAGTAATGGGTCACCCTACAAACAGCTCCTAGCTTTGCAAATCATCAGTCCAAAACACTTTTAACTTCCTGCAAAACACCAAGAAAAATTCTCCAGCCTTTTAAACTGGAAATAGCAAATCTGATTTCTATAACAGGCCTCAACCAGTCTGAGTTTATTAGCAATTGAATTAGAAGTTCACCTCAAGTCCAAATGAAAATCAGTGAACAGTCATTAGATCAAGTAAAAATGAAAGTGAAGAAGACAAGAAGCCATAGCTGTAATCATCCATCCAAAATTAACTTATCAGCTATCAAGCAAATAACTGCTATGTTAAAAGCTTTTTCACGTTAGGCCACTTGTTCTTCATAATAATTAAAATACAATGCTTTAATAAAAGAGTTTCATTTATATCCTGATAGTCAAGCTGGCACTTAACTTGATTTGGGGCTGTTCTCAATTAAGAACTTTTATGGTCTCCAAAATCCCCTCTTGGACGCTTCTGAGGTTCTGCACCAGAAAGAGGAGGGGAAAACTGGCAAATCATAATAGAGATGTGAGAACTGTTCTGGGGCATAAAAAGCAAAAAACCCCTGGAATCTGGATTCTGAACTCAACCAAAGCCAAGCTGCACTGAAATGTAAAAGTTTGGCCAACTTCCTAAATTCTAGTATCATGATTTTCATTTACAGTACTTATTTTGCATCATGTATTGATTTCACATTGGGTAAAACACTATTTTTAAGACAAATTTTCAATTTGCAAGGTTTTCACCTGCCACTTCCCAGTCCTATCTACCACACTGAACTTCCCACGTTCGACGCAGTGTGAGCTGGATCCCCGAGTCACACAACTGCCCTTTGAGAACCCTGTCTCCGCTGACAGCATTTTCACAGACATGCTAGCACAGCGAGGATGAGCACGTTCCGTGTCACACTGGCCTCCCATCACCCAATTTGTGTCTGCAGCTGGAGGCCACCTCGTTGTCTAACAATGTCGCTGAAGCGCAGCAGCGTGCAGTACACACCCTCTTATATCACCCTCCTCTGCCTGCTTTGCAACAGGGAAAAGGTGAGGACATAACAAAGAAGCAGCAACTGTTCTTCCTTACTTCAAAAGACAATACCATGCCACTAATAATCCTTCACACTTAAGTAACAGCCAGCTTTATAAACAGCAATTAAAGATGCCTTCTGGTGTACCTGCAAAGGAAACATTATTTTTGTTCTCCACAAGGACCACATTTTCTTCAGTGACTTTTGATTAAAGGATCCAACCTTGAGCACAAAAGGCTTAATTTTCAGGGGGATGAGCAGCTACAGGTCATATTGTGTAACCTTCTAACAGTGTCTCCTAACATCAGCTAAAAGTTAATATTTGATATTTTCAGCAGAAAGCCTCACAATCTTTCATTTCAGAAACTTTCTGCACACTGATCATTAATTTTGAAAGAGGGACAGGATTCATACAGCAAAGCATCGTGAAATCTGTTAATCGTTTTTACATAGACATATGAAAAAAACCCTCGCTTAATCCCTTGACATCTCATTGAGTAAATCTGCCAGGGATGAATTAAACCAGCATTCTGAGATTCACTATGTGGGTTGTTCATCTGCTTGTGCTTCTCCTTTTATTTTTAATCTTCAAACTGGCCAAGGCTTTTACCAGTCACCATTTACCTTTTCCAAAAATTAAGCCTTCTCCAAGTGCTAGTTGGAAGTGAAAACTGGTGACAGTTACAGCCCTGCCCACTCAGGAAACCCAGTGCAACCTGGGTGAGCCCAGAGATGCCAAGTCACTACTCTGCCTAATTACAAACCCGAGGCAGATTAACCTTTGATGACTAAATTAATCTTCTAAATAAAATGAATATGCATCAGCCTGAAAATTAGGATTAAATGCTTAGCAGAATCTTTATGTGATCAAGCAGGTTTTGTGGTGCAGATGTTAACCATTAACATGAAGCAATAAAATCATTCTTTTTCCTTATAATAACACCTAATAATTCTAAAGCCACCTTTCATCTGAGAATCTAAAAGGGTTTCATAAACATAATTAATTAACCCTCTCAGCATCCGAGACAAGAGCATAATAATATCCCCATCCAACAGCTGAAGAAACAGAGGCATAGCAATGTCCTAGATCGCGTGCCTCGGACTGTGCGTAATGTGGATGTTATACGCTTTGAAGAAAAAGAAAAGACCAGGTTTACACTGGCTTCACCCCTTCTCTCATGTAGCACTTCCGCCAGGACTGCAGGGGGGGGTTGTTGGTCTGTAAGGCTGAACTACCGCCACGCACGCACGTCCCTGTCCCAGAAATGCTCGTGGTGGCTCTATACAGCCCTTAAGGTCAGGCATCGCCTCCGCCAGCCACTGAAATACAAGACACGTGGGTGCTCCTTCACCTCACCCCGGGTTACCTGCTGGTGGAGCAGGCACATTCGTCTGCACCAGGACACCTTTTTACTATAAAAAGCAATGGAACATGTCTCACTACTGACCAAATAAAAACAAACATTGCACTTTCTAATCTACTACTTAATTCTGAAATAAATCATTCCAGTGGTTGGGCTGAATCTTTTCTGGAGAAAAAAATGTTTCTTCTTGATTTTTTCCTTGGACATTGGGAACTACCAGTCCCTTAAAGTATCTGTTACTCACACATACCAGTTACAACAATTTAGTGACAAGGAGAAACAGATGATGGCAATCCCACTTCTTTTTGACTGCTGGTGGAACAGTTGCCCCTGAAACGTGATTCCTATGTCTACATGGAGTAAAACGCTTGCATGGAAGGCTACCGCTTCCACCCAGAGGAGGAGGAGATGTGGCCATGGTTCTTTCGGGCTCTCCCAGAAGAGCAAATAGTTTCAGGGAATCAAGGTAACCTTCTGCTGAGGTCCACTTTCTATGCTCCTTCTTCCAATGGGATATTCATTTCCAAGTGGTTTGCAATGAGGAATTTATACAAATGCATGTATCATGACTCTTCAGCCTTACCATCCCTGATTTTGACTTCATTAGTTTGAAACTTGATGCATTTGGTTATTATCAAACTGTAAAACTAAGTTTTAATTTGATCTATTTAAATAAAAAACAATGGAAGAGTATTACTGAGCTATGGACAGGCATGTGAGAATTCATATTCATGATAATCCAATTTGTCCACATGTTTTGTTGTCCAATCACAGCAGCTTCTCCTAGTATGTAAGTTTTTCTTTTGATGTAAACTAATCTGATGGTGTAAAATGTCCGTTACTGCAAATGTAATTTTATTTGCTTAAAAGGGAACTGGATAAGTTCTTAAGGTCAGTTTAAATTTCTTGGCTTCTAAAAGGAAGCTTAAACTAGAAATTTACAGTTATTTTGGAATATTGACATCACATATATAATTTTGGCATATAAGTGACTTCCACAGCACTGGAAGTTAGGCATTTAAAAGCATTTGTTGTTTTCATACAATGACTGCTAAAATCCGTGGAAAAATTCCAAGGACTTTAATAAGCTTTGGATTGGGCACATTATTACTATGAATGTAATTCTTGATACCTCTCATAACATCCCAGGCCATGTGAGAAACTTAGGAAAAGCAATTAACATTCCTCCATCGACTTTTGTATTTACATTTTAAATTTACCATTTAAGACTTTAATTCCCCATAAAACTGCTTAAATATACATAACTTCAGTGTTATTTAAATGTTTTATGATCTTCCTGAAATGATCAGCTAATTAAAATCACTTACCTAATTTAGTACCTTAAATTTACCTTCCTTTATTTGGAAGGAATTGGATTTAATGTGCAGGTTTTGTTCAAGGTTTTGTTCATTTTCTTTCTCAGAAAACCTTAATTTGGAAGGAAAATCATGATTATATAGTAGGGGGAGGATGTCTTCTAGGCTGCAAACTTAAACTAGTGGTAATCATTAACTACCATGTATGACATGGCGTATATAATTAAGAAATAAATTTGTTACAGAAACTCAGAATTATCAATTAAAAAGTAGTCAGAGCAGTCCCACAAGGTCCGATATGATTACCTACATTATCTGGGCTGTCACTTCCAATGTTGGTTTGAATCTCAAAGACCTCTGAGGGGTGCTCCGTGTGTCAAGTTAAATAAGTGAGACAACCTTAGTGGAAAAATGCAATGATACAAGCGGGTGCAAACACAAGTCTTCTAGAGGAGAATAGAGATGTCAGCTTCAACTTGAATATTATTGGCAAACTGTTCTTCCTTCCTACTGTACTTCTGAATGGACTGACAGGACCATTCAATTTGTGGCTGTACCACAGCCTGTTTCCTGGGTTGGGGGGGCAGAACCTTGGGGCATTGAAGGACACTCCAGCCTGTTACATTTTTTTCTTACTTATTACCTTTGCAGACTTTGATTTTTCCTTCTTCAGAGATTCCTCAAGTTTAAGGCCAGAAGAGACAGTCAAATTATCTAGCCTGACCTTGTATATATGCCAGGCCACCAAGCTACACTCATTGACCCATCCCCTATGAACCCTTCTCCTTTTCTTTAAGCTACTTGTCACAACATTGATCTACAAATGTGTCTCAATTCTGAGGCAGTAAATCAGTGTAAAAAAATAAATAGCTCCTCCCACCAGCCTTTCTCTCCAAAATCCCAACTCCAGCAAAATGATTCTGTTGCTCATTCTGAAACGGAATGAAAAATCTTGCATCCCCTGATGAATCAGATTTTGTTTCTTGTGCTGAATGTCTCACATCTCTATTGCTCTGGCCTCTAGCTTGGACTAGAAATAAAATGAATAGAAAATGTGACTTCATCATATTTTTGACCTGATTGGGGTAGATGGATCTTAAATACTTTATATTCGGCTATGGAGGCTGGGTACACCTATTTATGGATTCAGATGCAAACCAAGTGAAGTTAAAACACAAGTTGTTCATCCACAGGCTCAAAATAAAATCCTAATCTTTTCTAGCACTATGTAACTTCTTCAAACCAGTATACATCAAGAAACCTAACATCCTCTTCACAACTCCAGTACCTGCCTACACAGTAAAAATTCTGACATTTACCAGAAACAGGGAAAAAGAAAATAACAGTCCAAAATTCATGATACCGTTATTTAGGATGTGATCTGAAGACTGTCTCTTGGCTCTGAAACAAAGACTACTGTAGACACAAGAACACTGACAGACAGTGATTGTGTCCTCTTTTAAAACTATGCTGACAACATCAGCACCATTGTTCAATTTGGTATCAGGGAGTGTCAGTAAGAGTGAAATACTGCTTACCTTTCCGCATCATGCAAAACATAGCATCTCTGTGTTTCCCTGGATTCGCCCCACAAGCGTTCCAAAATGTGCACAACAAAACCACATGAAACTCAGATGATTTCAGATCACGTTACAAAGTCAAAACACAGAACAGATTCACAGGAAGATTTGCTAAGGTTCACCAACCTGTTGAGTGAACCTGGGCCCAGTTCCAAGCAAATCTGGATTGATTAATGTTTTCTTTAAATCAACATCACCTGATGTTCTTTGCTACTGATGTGAATCTCAGCTTTTTCTTTTCTCTTTGGAATTTCGGATCGGTGTAAGTATGGAGCTGAAAACAGCACATGGAATGCATATCCATCTATGTACTAACTGAAGAGCATGTAGCATTGTTTCCTGCAATGCAATGAAATATTGCAAAACCAGCAGCCCACCAGCCTCATCAGTATTTTGCACTACTATTAGCTTTTTGGTGAGGGCTAGGGGTACAGCTTTTTTCAAACTGTTCATGCATTTAAGAACATAGCAGTAAAGGAGCTCTTTCTATATTTCAAACATGGGACCAAATTGAGATATACCCAGCTATACAAGGAATGGAACCTCTCTCTAATAGATCCCCTGAAATCAATGGAACTATTTCTATATTTCAAACATGGGACCAAATTGAGATATACCCAGCTATACAAGGAATGGTCTAATAGTCTAATAGATCCCCTGAAATCAATGGAACTACTTATGGAGCATTACCCATTGTGAGTAAGAGCTACTGTAAATAAGCTTTAGAAACTATATTCCAGCCACAGTTGCGCTTGG